GCAATAGCTAATATTTTTACAAGCGATTTTATATAATATTTTTTTATTTATTTACTTTTATTTTCATAAAGCGGTTGATAAGCACAATCACTCGTATTACTAAAAAACTTTAACAAACGTTTTGAATAGATTTTTAATGTTTACGAGGAATTTTATTTTTGGTAAAATAAAATAAAATGTTAGAATAAAAATCTTATAGGTATAAAAGATATATTTCAGCGAAAGAATTATTATTAAAAATTATTCGAAAAACTATTGACGTTCTATTTTTCAGCAGCTGTTCATGAGCACGCTTCGTTGAGTTTCGGTAACTTTTAACAAAAAAGCGATTGTTATTATTTAAGTAATTTTTTTCGAGTTACTTTTTACAAAAATTTTAATAACTGTACTTTTTTATTGAATCAAATATAATACGTTTTAATATTAATCCTTTTATTTATTTATTTTTATTTGCGCTTACCAATTTTTAATATGTTTACTCGAAATTATTCTTAAATACTTTAAATACGTCTAACAGTAAACAATTTTTAAATCTATGGAATAATTTTAAAACCTAACAAACCCCCGTAAAATAATTATTTAATTTAAAAATCAAAAACTAAAAGAAAATACTTTTGTTCAATTTATTAACAACTTTGCTATTGCTGAATAATTTTATTAAAATGTTAGTTTAAAAAGATTTAAACTTTTTTTTTAATCTGAATTTTTTCTACTATTTTTTCTACTACTACGTAAATAATGAGCATATATAATTTTTTTGTAATTCAAACTTTTATGTCAACTGCGTGCGGTTTTTAAAATACTTTATTAAATGTTAAAATAATCGTAAATTACTTCATTAAAATTCCGCTCAAAATATCTTTAAATATACTCAAACAAAAAATTTTTTGCTTGACGGAAATAGCCCTACCTACACACAAAATCGCTCTTGGACGACGTAAAATTCACATTGCCCGACGCTTTATCGCAAGGCCTGTATACTGTATGCCATATTTGTGAAAAAAGTCTTCGAGATTGGACAAAAGGAAAAAGAAATAATTTACCTTTTGGAGTCCCTATGGTTTGGAGGGAACCACTAAATCATATTGATGACTGCTATTTTTGTCTTATTGATACTAGAGGTGTTGGCAAAATTAAGAGACAAAAAATATCTTATCCCAACATACCTTCTGCTATTAGACCAATTCAACAGTCTAACGAGATTCCATATCCAATTTTTAAAGGTTTATTTTTGTCAGAAGATGAGCAAAGCGTGTCTGCTACAGAAACAGAAGAATTTTTACCAGATTTGAAAGACTTCTCATCTAATGCTAAACAACTCAGTTTGCCTCAGTGTTTTAGTCAGATAGAACTAAATGACTTAGTTCGTGATTTAGGACTTTCTAAACAAGCAGCAGAAGTATTAGCATCACACTTAAAAGAAAAAAACCTACTTGATAACTTTGCAAAAGTATCTTATTTTAAAACAAAAGATGAAACTTTTGTTGACTTGTTTTCAGAAGTCAATTTATTTGCTTACTGTCATGATATTTCAGGTCTCCTACTACAGTTGGATATTTCTGTATATAATCCAGCAGAATGGAGACTTTTTATTGATAGCTCAAAGCGAAGCCTCAAACGCGTTATATTGCGCAATCGAAATTTTTTTGGTTTAGTACCAATTGGTCATTCTGTTTATTCGCGAGAAACTTACGATGACATTAAAATGGTGCTTAACTTGATTAAATATCATGAACACAACTGGATTATTTGTGTAGATCTAAAAATGGTTAACTTTCTACTTGGTCAGCAGAAAGGTTTTACAAAATTTCCATATTATCTCTGTATGTGGGACAGTCGAGCGAGAAATCAACACTGGATACAAAAAGAATAGCCCATTCGCAAGACTCTCACAGTAAGCATGCAAAATATTGTGAATGAACCGATTGTTAGTCAAAACAAAATAATTTTTCCACCTCTCTATCTTAAACTTGGCTATATGAAACAATTTGTTAAAGCACTAAAATCTGATAATGATTGTTTTCAGTATATAGTTAAATCATTACCAGGATTGTCAATAAAGAAAAAAAAAAACAGGAGTTTTTAACAGGCCACAAATTCGCTATCTTATAAAAGATGAAGAATTCATTAAAACGATGAATATCAAAGAGAAAATGGCTTGGTTATCGTTTGTGATTGTTATAAAAAATTTTCTTGGAAATAAAAAAGCAGAAAACTATGCAGATTTAGTTGATAAAATGTTGAAAGCCTTTTGTGATCTTGGATGCAAAATGAGTATAAAGCTTCATTATATAAATAGTCATCTTGACCAGTTGACCTGAAAATTTTGGAGATGTGAGTGAAGAGCAAAGAGAGTGACTCCATCAAGATCTTAAGACAATCGAAGATCGTTACCAAGGACGTTGGGACATACACGTGATGGCAGACTACTGCTGGGGCATCAAGCGAGAAGACACAGGAAAAGTTTATAAACAAAAGAGCAACAAGCAAAAGTTTCTTCGTGATTAAGTAGTTGTAAATAAGCAATATAATCTGCTATCTTTTTTAAAACAAAGTAAAAAAGATTTTGATCTTTCACTAAAGTAAAAGATTTTGTTATTAATCAATAAAAAGTTAATAACTTTGCTAGGACTTGGATATTTGAAAAATATTTATTTTAATCAGTTTACATTTAGTTTCATTTGCTTTCTGTTTTTGTTTTAGTTTTGTAAACAACTTTTATTCTAAAAAGTATATCCTAGCATTTCCAAATGAGTTTCAAATCTGTATTTTAGAACTATTTCTACTGTTTTGCAAAATTAAAAAAATATAAATTGCAAAAAATCTGTAGCTTTCTATAAATTCAGCATATCAAAATTATGTAAGAACAAGTGTCAAATTTAATGCAATAAATTTTTAAAGACCTGAGTAATTTAAGTCTAGTTAAGAATAATTTGCAATTCTTAAAATATAAAACAATTTTTTTTTTAACTTCTACTTTTTGTGTTTTCAGCTCATTTTTGACTATTATAGTTATATCATTTTAAAAAGTAGAATTTAAGTTCTTCTAATACAATTATTTTTTAATAAATCTTTTTTTAATTCAAGTATCAAACAAAATAAAACTATCACTGTAATAAATAAAACGCGACAGGGTAGCCATTATAACTCGACAGGGCAGCCTTTATAAAACAGTTGAAACAAAGGTGTTGAGTATTTACATAACAAAAATCAAAAAAAAAAAGTTTCAGCTTTTATATAACTCTTGCTCCATAGTAATTAGCTAAAACGTAAAACTCATAAAAATTAAAATCATTGAATATTTACAAACAAAATAAAATGATGAGTTTCACAACTTTTTTTAAAAATAAACCAATCAGAAAGCACAAATACGAAGTTGGCATTTTTTAAAAACAAAAGAGCCTTAATGTAATATTTTTCTTCAGATCTTTCCTTAAGGATGCCAAGATTATATTTTTATCATGTTTATAAGAATTTAAACAAATTTACATTTAATTTCAACTGAAAACACGATTTATATCATTGTTATATTACCCACAACTAATTTTTTAACCACTTATTTAGCTTAAAATTATCTGGTTTTATTACAATATTTAGTTAGTATTATTGCTGTATTTATTATTATATTACTTATCTCCTGATTTTCATATTTTTACTGTTTACAGAAACTTTCGTGATATATTATCTTGCATTCATTACTCAGCTTTGTTTTAATTTTCACATGCACAATTTTTATCTTTATTATTATTCAGAGAATATTTTTATATCCTTCATTTAATGTTTACATATATGCCGCTTAGATTTTTAAGGTTTTTGTGCAACGTTCTTTTTCGCTATCATATATTATTCTATTATTGTTATGATTTTGGGTTTCGCGGGTTACTCATTTTCCTACACTTTTGATTGGTTATCATATTTTGAATGAGGTATTTATGACAGCGTTAGAGTTTATTTAAGGGTATTGTTTTGTTTATTAAAAAAAATTTTTTAATGAGGTATACTGCTTTCTGATTATCTTGGGCTTGTTTATGCTAATAATACCTATTTGGTTTTATTTCTTAAAATAAATTGATTAATATTTTTATGTTTCTATTAGAATTTTAATTTATTTTGTTTTCATGTTTTCTTTTGGTGGTACGGTAAGTGTTTTATTTAGTTATTTTTACTTTTGGTTGTTCAGTAAATCTATACTTTTTATATCATATCATCAAAAAAAATATTGGTGCTTTACAAATTTAGGGTTGGTTGGGTTTTGGCTATTTGTAGTGAGTCCTTTTTTACTGCAGTATGGAATAGGCGTAAGTCGCGGGGTAAAGCATAAGTGGCGATGATAAACTAGTTATAAATGCTGATCCTCATCTAAACGCCAGTAATAATAGACGCGACTCTGAGGAGATGTTTATTACTTATCACTACATTAATTATGTTTACACATTAGCATTAATGTTTTTTTTTTCCATTATTAGTCCATTATTTTCCATTATTTTATTATTATTTGTTTTTATTTTTTCAATTTTTTATTTTTTTTTATTGTTATTATGGTTGAGTACTGTTTTGGTTGTATAGCTTGTCTTATTTATTTTTAAATATTCCTCTATTAATCTTTATTTTTGTCTTGACAACTGTCAAAATATGCTTTGTCTAATAAATAATTCTCCTTTATTCTAATGTACTTCATTTCTTCCCTCAGGCGTTCACTGCTCGTGTGTGACCATTCTGCGAATTTTATATGCCAAAGTTTTTAAATAACGATGCCAAGATTATATTTTTATCATATTTATAGGAATTTAAACAAATTTACATTTAATTTCAACTGAAAATGACTAGTGGTAGTTAAAATATAAAATGGTAATAAAAATAAATTTTATATATAAATACATTCTTCAGAAAGTTTCCTGAAGAGTCCTGAAGAGATGAATTTTGTACATTTAATTTTAAAATGCTATGTTCTTTAAAAAGATTTAGTAATTTAAATATTAAAATATAAAGAACTAACATAC